GTCTGACAGCAACCCCATACTCAATTACTCAATAACTGCACATTCACAAATTCCCCATCTCCTTGAGCTGAGGTGAGTATAGCCCTGTACAGTGGAGGCATCAGGTATCTTTTAAAGCAAGGAATTCAGTATCCTTTGGATCTTATGAATTTTTTTTAACCACCTGGCAAGAGAAGAACTTAAGGTTTCATTTGGAAAAGGTCTTGAGCCTTTGTAAAGATTGTGAATGACAGCTTTAGAGAAACTAATAAATTTTGCCAGGCCAGGTGTGGTGGAGCATGCCTGTAATCCCAGCAGCTGGATAGACTGAGGCAGAAGGATTATGAGTTCAAAGCCAGCCTCAGCAATTTAGTGAGGCCCTAAGCAACTTAGTAATAGGGTAGAACCTGTCTCTAAATGAAAAATATATTTTAAAAAAAGTATTGGGGTTGTGACTCAGTGGTTAAGCACACCTGGGCTCAATCCCTGGTACCACAACCACCACAAAAATTCTGCATATGACTTGGCTCTGAACAACTTTCAACTACTTCTTGTAATGATTGCAATTCTAAGAGCCACATTTTAAATGTACCTCATCCACTCAGTAGGACTATAGAGTACTGTTAGACCTGGATGCAAGAAAAGACCACTGACTCCAATTAAAATCAAATTAAAGCAAGCTAATTATTCCAACTGGCCGGGCTGCCTCTCCCACCAAACACCGAGAGAACAAGACAGCAGCTGCAGCTTTCCTGCAGCCCAGCTTTATAGCCCAGAAAGGTACACAAAGGGGTGTTACAGATAACAGAACTCTGACAAGCATAACACAAATGGTAGTTTGCATTTTTTGCTGGCTCCAACATCAGAATTTATGAGGATCATTAGAGCCTCAGAGAGGGTCGTTATCTGGCCAGGGAAGGCCAAGATTTGTGAGGCATCACTAAAGTTTCAGAGAGGGCTGCTATCTGGTCAGAGAGTCAGTCATGGGTGAGTTCAAGGTATGGGCAGGCGTTCCAAGCAGGTTCAGAATTTGCAGTAATTTATAGTAAAGCTGAAATTATCTTTTCATAGCTTTGTGGTGAGATGGCTCCCAATTTTAAGAAAAGATCAGGTTGGGTCTATCAAGTACAAAAGAGAAATAATTCTGAAAACAATAGAACAAAGGCAACTTACATAGCTATATTATCTCATTTCCTACCAATTTTCTCCCCTGAAAAAGCTACTTGTCAGACATGAGCATGTCAATAAACATAATGGTAATTTCAATTAGGTGCTGAGTGAAGAGGAGAGGAGAAAACGGAACCCAGCCAAAGATTAAAAAAGATAGACAAGCACTAGAAGAAAGTGAGCCTTTTTTTCAAGACCATGAAAATTTGAAATGATCAAAAATGGAAAAGCATAGATGCCTCACATAAAGACTTCCTGAAAGAAAGAGAAATCAGGTGAGGCGAAGACGCCATTTCTCATTGCATCTTACCTGTGAGGAGAGTAAGTCTTGCCATGCCGTTAGTACTGGTCTAGGAGAGCCTGGGTTTGCTTTTATACCATCTGAGTCTCTGAACAGTAAAGGGAGAGTTTTAAACCAGGATGTGTGCCAAAGCTAATCCACTAATCCTTGTATCAATAGGTCTCCTCCCCTAAGACACTGCCCCCTGGACATCCCACCAGCTGCACCACCTTCCCAGCCCCAGAAGGAGGAACCATGGCACATCTCCCTTTAGGGAGGTGGAGTCCATCACTATAAAAATCACTGGCCTAATAGCTTTCTTGGCAGTTCTCACAGCTGATA